TTAGAAATTTTTAATAATTTTATTCTCTTTTGGTTTTTTGTTCTCTCCTTGCTCCTACAGTACTCATCCCAGCTTTCTCTGCTTGACTTTTTTTGTATATAATTCAAAAACAAAAATAAATGTTGATTCAATTGTATAGGAGTTTGGCATCAATATGATGGCACAGTGCAGCATCCAGAACCTACTTATATGATGAGAAAAAACCAAAGTGCAGATGCAAAATCGTATAGTAAACGATTCAATGGATGGCTCACTGGGTTTATTGGCAGCTCATCAATAAGCAATAGAGATGAGCGACTAGCAGCAGATTGTAAATTTGCTCTGTTGTCATACCTTCCTGCTTGGGAAGGCTTCTTGTGTGAAAACTCCAAACCCATGGAACCTTGCCTAGCCATTGAGCAATTTCTTCAAGTTTCCAAAGACAGAGAAGGAATATGGACAAAGCAGGAATATTATGAACCAAAGCTCTGGAGAGTAAGTGGATATTCAGCAAATGAGGTAATTTTTTTATGTTACTAAATTATATAATGATAATTTGTTCCCTAAAGTTGACTAGCATGTAATTCCACAAAGAATGAAATTCTGCAGGGGTCCCGAGTCTCCCGGAACTCAAAGGAGTCTCCTGGAAATCAGGACGGCTTCCTGCACTCCTGCAAGAATCTCCGGGAAATCAACCCATTTCCGAAAATTCATAATTTTGCATGTTTTCGCTGTTTTATTATCAATTTTCTCACGGAAGCATGGCCGATGGGTATCACTATGTGCATCAAAATAAAATTAACTGTGTTAAGGAAGCTCATTAACCAGATCAGTGGTGGATTCTAGGGAGGGGGACAGCCGGCCTGGGTCCCCTAATTATTTCAAAATTATAACAGAAAATGGGGTAGGGAAAAAAAATCTAAATGAAGTCAGAGAGGGCCATTTCCGGCCATCTAGAAGTGCCATAATAATTAATTTTCTTACCTCACCTTCAACCATGCTGCAGCTGAGGTGGTCTAGACTCCGGTGAAAATCTTGACATTCCCCTTCCCCCACCCTTCTATCCGCCACCGCAGATCTCATGAAAATGACTTCTTCTAACTTGGGACCCCTGAATTCTGTTATGGTATGTTATGCCTTGTTCACATGGATTGTTATTTTTTGCATTACTACTAGTAATAGTGGCACCAGGAGTTAACCCAACAAGAATGTGGGGGAAGTGGGATGGGAGGGTGGGCAATACCTTGACTAGAGCAAGTTTCCTGGGTCCATCCAGAACCCCTTGGAAGGGTTCAATCTGCGATGCCCAATTTAGGAATGTGGAAGCAATATTTTCCATCTTTAATTGTTCTTCGGTTTATGATTTAATCCTAAACAGGTTCTTCTGCAGTATCTTGAAGGGAAAATATTTCAACTAGAGAATAGTGATATTTGTAAAGATGTTGATGCAAGCATTAAAAAGATGATATCAGCATTAGCTATGATGCATGTTATTAAAAAATGTAACATCACTATCGACAGAAGAATTACGCATACTTTGTTATGTGCATTGGCTCTTCCTTTGAGTCTCTGCAAAGATGAGTACACATGTATTGTTGAAAGTATCCAGGAAGCATTTGGACCAATACTTGAGTAAGTATACAGTTAATTTCAAAATTTTAAACAATGTCTTTTTATCCAAACACCTGACGTGTTTAACACTAACGACTATCATCGCAAACGCTTATTCATTAGTAAACTGTTTACGTGCTTGACTCTAACGCCTATCATCACAAACACCCATTCAATGGTAAACTGCTGACATGCTCCAACCCCAACCCAAAAAATAACTTCAACAGAAATGGTAAACTGTTGACATGCTTAACTCTCAAGCATATCGGCGCAAACGCCCGACATGTTTAACCCTAATGGCCTATCGTCGCAAGCGCCCATTCAACGGTAAACTGCTGATGTGCTGCAACTCTAACCCAAAAAATAACTTCAACAGACATGGTAAACTTTTGACATGCTTAACCCTAAAGAGTATCGGCGCAAACACCTGACATGTTTAACCATAACACCCTATCGTAGCAAACACCTATTCAATGGAAAACTGCTGACATGCTTAACCCTAACGCCTATTGGTGCAAACCCCTGACGTGCTTAACCCTAACGCAAACATATTTATGCTCAGTGGCGTCACCAAGCAAGGGGGGGAGGCAGGGTTCCCCAGATTTTGGCCCAAATTCATGGTAAACTGTTTACATGCTTAACCCTAAACCCTATCATAGCAAACACCTATTCAAGAGTAAGCTGCTGACATGCTTAACCCTAATGCCTTTTGTCACAAATGCCTATTCATTGGTAAACTGCTGATGTGCTTAATCCTAACGCCTATCATCGCAAACGCCTATACAATGGTAAACTGCTGACATGCTCTAACCCAAACGCAAAAAATCTTGGGCCCCCAAGAATTTGGCCCCAGCAATATCACAGACCAACACTGGACCCCCTACAGAAATATTCTGGCTTACACCACTGTTTATGCTTCATAAAGCTATACTAGATGGCTATTTCAATGCTTCCAAAAGCAGTTTTAATGCTTTAACCCTTTGAACCCTGCATTATTTACATCTTGCGGCACCCTCACCCTGAGTTATTTAGACAAAATATGCTTATTTTTTATTACAATCATCACTACCACCTCCTAGGCCCTGTACCGCTACCATAGCCATCCATCAACCCAATGTACAGTACAGCTATCATCACTACCGCCGTCTGCTGGCACTAGCACTATCGTGATCGGCCTGCAATGCTTTGGACCAACGGTGGCAAAAGCAATTTCAATGCTTTAAATGATGTTCTATGCTTCATAAAGCTTTTTTATGCTATTAACTACTGTATTTCAATGCTATTTCAATGCTTCGACCAATATTGTGGCTATATGCAACCTTCCACCCAAAACTCTGAATTCTAATATGAAATAGAACTTTTAGCCGTGACATTCATCGCAATATTAAACGACCCCCATCTTTAAGCTTTTTTTGCATACAAGATGGAAAATATAGTATACAAATATTGACTGCTCATGAGGGGAATGGTGAAATCTATTGCCCTGAGGTGATGTGGAGACCGGTCTCCACATTAACAAGGGTCAATAGATTTCACTGTTCCCCGAATATAGAGCAGTCAATATTTGTTTTATATACCTCATACATAGATTCTACGAGGCCTAAAAAAGTACTTACTTCCTAGCCTGTTATATTAGAGGCATACTGTACTAGGCCTACTACTACTCGACTACCTAGGCGATCACAGAGTGTGTCTAGCTCTTCTTTGCTTATTTCCTCAATTTCAACAGCACCCATCGTCTTGCAATATATTTGTCGAATATTGATAAGACATAAATAATTTGTCTTTTGGTGTGTTTGCTATGGTAATGCTAGGCCTAGCTAGTCCTTCATTTCGAAACGAGCAGCCTCCATTATTTGTTTATCGTTTCTCGCTGATCCGTGATGTGGTCAGGGGATAATCTCGTCGTAGAGGCTGCAGTCCCCTTTACCTTCACAGCGCCATGTCTAGTGGGCCTAGAGTTTGCACATCACGACAGGTCAAAAAAGTACTATTTTTGAGGGGAATAGTACCTTTTTGAGGGGAATAGTGCTTTCTATTGCCCCGCTTTTAACCAATCAGATGCCTAGAATCTATGTATGAGATATATAACAGGCACTATATTATTAGTGCCTGCTTGGGATAGAAAAATTATCTGTCAAATGAAAAATGATAATGTCATGACTGAACTTACAAAATAACCATTAAAGTTATGTAAATTTTTTATGCCGCTATTTGTTATATAATATTGTAATACACAGAAACTGTTGTTCATTTAAATAGTGATCTGATTGTTTCACTTCTGCAATGTTGCAATGGAGCAATGGCTCCACAGACTGAGAAAGACGTTGATGTCTCATGGTTGTTGGTGGTACCTCTTCTGCATTTTCTGCGTGGTGATTCTAAGCCAATGGAATGGCCTTCCAATCTGGACAGATATAATTACAATAATATTGTATGGTGGGGTCATGAACACCTAGCTGTAGTTGAAAGTAGAAAATATTTCAGACATTCTTGGTAAGTTCATATACTGTACTTGTGTTGGTAAAAATGACCAAAATGGTCTAAAGAATGATGTTCGTGAAATTACATCATTATGGTCTCATTAGTTTATGAAATGAATGCAAATATTTGAGTCTGTATTTTTAAAATAAAGTAGATCTGGTGCTATTTATGATTCAAGTTTATAAAAAAAACCATAGACAATGTTCTAACTACAACCTAAATTAAGTCCTAGTTTTTAATCCAGTTAAAGCTGCATGGTAAGGATGTATATGTTAAATTGACCAATGTAAAGAGATAAACTTTAAAATAATGCAGTGATATAAATTTGCCGTCTTTTATTTAGAAAGTTACTGTATATTCTCATACTCTCACAAATTATCAATCACTTTTTTAATGACTCATAATACACTAAATATATTAGTGTTTGACAGTCACTAAAATGTTGTCCTCTGTAGATCATTAATAAAGAGTGCAAAAATC